GTAAAGCAGATCTCTTGTGGAGTTTATCAGGGCCAGCGGTAAGGAGCTAGGAAGAACAGATGGAGGACAAAGGAACAAAGGACGAAGATGAGACCCAAAGCATAAGTGCTTAGTTATGACCAGGGCTGTGAGGGGACAGAAAAAGTAGGTACAGAGAGGAACTGAGACTCAGGACAGAACTGAAGAAGAGTTTTGTCATTGTAAGGAACATGGAAGACCAGGGTGAACAACCCTGGTCAGGATTGTTCCAAGCAATAGAATGATGTAAGTAAACCACAAATGGAGTAGTGATAAGCTATAAGCTGTGTGTGGAAGTAGGGATAGGACTAGAAACCTAGCCAGGAAAAAATATAAAAGATGAAGCCTCAGACCCGACCAACAGAGCTCGCCGGGCCCGCGCGTGCGAGACGACTCTCCTCCGCCAGAGACGTGAGATCCTGTCCCCAGTGCAGACATGGCTGACCACAGGAAGGCTGACCCAAGATCCAGAGGAACAGACGTGGCAAGTCCGGACCTGTACACCCGGAGAGGTACTCCTGCTTCCATTTGGAAGACGGGATAAATAATGCTTGTAATCTTGCTGGGTGAATAAATGAGTGTTATACCAAGTCTGAATCAAGAGTGATTATTCCTCCCCTGTAACCGGGCTATGTGCACGCTACAGTCATAAAGGAATAAAGTAAATGGACAAAAGAGCATAATGTACATAGATTCCTTTCTCTCAGATACCCCACGCCTGACGTAGCGTCTTCCCCAGGACTCTGGGAGGAATTTTCTCAGGGATGAAACTTGGGAAAATTCTGTTATTTTAGAGGTTTTTGTGGTTTAATATTTTTTATTATTTTTATAAATAAAAAAAACTTCTGTTTTCCTCTTTTTTTCCCTCCAGGGTTGAACCAGGGCTTAAGTCCAGGACTCTATGCATAGTAGGCCGTCACCAGTCAAAAATACCACTTTTTAGCTGGGTGTAGTGATGCATGCCCTTAATCCCAGCACCTGGGAGGCAGAGGCAGGTGGATCTCTGAGAGTTCAAGGCCAGCCTGGTCTACAGAGTGAGTTCCAGGACAACCAGAGCTACATACTCAGAGCTTGTCTTAAAACAACAACAAAAACAAGGTCACTTCTCCAGGGCATTTTTGATCATGTTTAGATATGCCAACATGGGTGCATACACACACTGCCTTGGTAAGCAGTTTCCATGAGCGTTCCTCAGCCAAGGGTAGAGGGACACACACTTTTAACTTCACTTTTATCTATTTCTCGTGTTGTTTGTGTTGGTTAAACGGCGCGCTGCTCGTGGCTAGCCAGAGGAGAGTGCTGATCGGAAGAATCACAGGCCATGGTTACCTTTTAGAGCTTTATTGGGGGGGGGGGGGACAGAGGGAGAGAGGGAGAGAGAGAGAGAGGACAGATGGAAGGAGAGAGCGGAAAGAGAAGGGGGGCACACAGAGGGCCCACCCGCTTTTTAGGCTGGGACGCCGTCACAGGATGGTGACGTAATTAAGGACAGAATCCTTACAGTTTGTATGTTGTCCATTTCGAGGCCAGAGCAGAAGGATGAAATTGGGCTTATACTTCAAGAGTACACTCCACGTTGACAGAGAAGGTACAGCAACTGTCAATTCTGGGAGAGGGTGGTGAGTCGGTGTTTTTTCCTAAAGTGTTTCCAGAACTCTCACCAGGCAATGGGCAACGACAACCAAATGACCCGAATCTGATTGCACAGAAAAGCTGGGAAGGGAGTTTGGTGGTGGAATACCTGCCTAGCGTGTGTGTGCAAGGCCCTGTAAGAAAACCATGGATGCAGAAGACACAGCAACATGCTGCGTGCCACCACATACCTTCTTCCTCCACCCTCCCAACAAGAGGCAAGTGATAACGTGACTTACAGCGGAGACTCAGAGCCTGAGTGACTCACGGTGTACGGGACAGAGTTGCAATTTGGCCGACGAGAGAATTGGCAAGATTCAGATGGAGAGGAACAAAGTTAACAAAGGAAGTTAAAAGAATACAGAGGGTTTGTTGGTAGCTAAGGACACTTGCTGGGCAAGCCTGGTGACCGGGGAGTTTGATCCCCAGAATGCGTGAAGGTCGAGGGAGAGAGTCGCTCTACAGTTATTCTGTGACCCCTACACAAGTACTGTGGAATATCATGCACACACACAATAGTAATGTCAAAATATAGCGGAACGTCGGGTGTCGTGGTTCAGCCTGTAATCTCGGCACTCATGAGGCTGAGGCAGGAGGTTTAAAAATTCAAGGCGAAGGCGGATCTCTGTGAGTTCGAGGCCAGCCTGGTCTACCAAGTGAGTTCCAGGAAAGGCGCAAAGCTACACAGAGAAACCCTGTCTCAAACAAACAAACAAACAAACAAAAAAGTTCAAGGCGAACCTGAGCTACATAGTGAGTTCCATCCCAGCTTGGGCAACCCAGTGAGATCCTGTGTCAAAAACTAACCAGGCAAGCCAGCGAGATGGCTCAGAGGGTAAAAGTTCTCACTAACAACCGGAATTCGATCCCATGTGGGACTCACCCGGTGGAAGGAGAGAAGCAACTCTACTAAGTTGTTCTCCGACCACCACACCTGTGCTGTGGCACATGTGCATGTGCGCGCGCACACACACACACACACACACAAAATAAACAATGTTGTAAACGGGGCGAAGGACCCTACAACTAACCGGGCGCTGGAGCGAGGGCTCTGACAGCCACAGCACTTGCTCTGCAACCATGAGGACCAGAATTCAGTTCCAACGGGCACTAAACAAGCCAGGTGTCTCTGCAAATGCCTTTAACTCCAACCCCAAGGCGAGCAGAGACAAGAGGATCCCTGGGGCTTGCTGGCTTCCAGCCTGAGACAGTGAGTCAGTCCCGGGTGCAGGCAAGGCCCTTGCTTCAGAAGAACAGGCAGAAAGCGACAGCAGAGGACACCTGACTCTCTTCAGGTCTGTGAGAGCTGTATACAGGTGTACATCCCGGCCCCCACATTTGCATACACTCTCACACATAAACAAAGTTAGATCTAAAAAACTAATTAAAAAATACAGAATTGGAAATGATGACTATCCTTTCTGATGGAGGCTGAAAAACAGACTCCTGACAACAAAATAAAACCAACTCTACATGGTCCTTGGTGATCTCATCAGTGTCTTTCCATGAGCACACTGGGGGCAAAGAAGACTACAAGTGTCACAGACAACAGAATCCAGGTCTTCCCACGACCACGCTAATGCTTGTGTGGTGCAGCAGACGGTATCCTAATCTCAGAGGAACCGCCCCCTTTGCCTCTCTGAGACCTTATGCTTTGAAAGAGTTCTCCCCACATCTCCACACTGAACCCACCAATGCCAATCTCACAGTATTCACAAGGAGCCCCTGCTTTTTCTTCCCCTGAAGTTGTCTGGGGCTTCCTGTACAGGACATATGCTTCCTCAGAAACAGACTGGAGCCAAGACAAGGGGCTGGAGAGAAGGCTTGGTGGTTAAGAGCACTTGTTGCTCTTACAGAGGACCTACGTTCGGTTGCCAGCAATCACACAGTGGTTCATAACTCCAGGGGTTGGATCCCAGGAATCCAGTGCCTGTTTTGACCTTCTCAGGCACTGCATGTCCATGGTGCACATACCTTAATGCAGAGAACACCCTCATACATATAAACGTTTTTGAAAGAACCAAGAAAGGAGGAGGGTGTGGGGTCAGGCTCCCATTGCTGCAGCAAACACCTGAGATAACTAATAAAGAGGAAAGGTTGCTGGGTGCGATGGTGCACACCTGTAATCCTAGCACTCAGGAGGCTGAGGTAGGATGACCATGGGTTCAAGGTCAGCCTGGGCTACATACCATAACTCTTGTCTCAAAAATAAATACATAAATGTTTATTTTGCCTCACAATTTTGTGAGTCCATGGCTCCCGTTGCTCTTAGGTCCCTAGCTAGGCAACACACCATGGAAGAAGCACGTGGCCGAGCAAAGTCTGCTCTATCAGGCCATAAACTCAAGTGAGTGAAAGTAAAGGGCTGAGTCTCTCAGCTCTTTTGGATTATTGTGTAGGTCAAAGTGTGTTGTAGAATGAGGTCCTCGGAGGAAAGCAGCTGCCATGCTCATCAGATCAGCGTGCTAGAGGCCAGACTGCTGACATTCCCTCAGAGGGGACTGGAAGGGTCACTGGACCTGAGCTTTCAGATGCTCCCCCAGCCATTTATATGCCATTCGGCCCCGACTGCATAGGATCTTAGGAGGTGCTAGAGCACACAGGCTATGCGGAAGCCATCAGCTATGACGAGGGGGGACTTTCAGGGGCCCAACTTCAGGGTCACTCTTGTAGGCAACCCCTCATCCACGTACTGTTAAGTCTGATGAACTTCAGTGCAATCAGTTTGATCAGTCACTGGGACCTTATGAGGAGTAGGAAGACATTTTTCCTACTCCTCATAAGGAATTCTTGCAACAAAGTGGGAAGACATCAGTACATCCAGGGAACACTCACACATCAACATTAATATTATGCTCCATCGATCTAGGTTATCAACGGCAACCCCAAGAGACGGAGCAATAAATACCCTGACGCCACGGTGCAGTCACAAAAGTCACGTTTCCAAAAAGATTAACGTCTGTGCTCAGGGCTACTTTCTAGTTCCAAGGAATCCATCCAGTCGCCATGTCCTCCTCTGCGGGTCCCAGGCCAGGCGCGGCCCCCAACACGCCCGCCTGTCCTCAGGTCACCATACGGTCTCCGTTTCAACATGCTCCCGGCCCGCCCCTCCTCGCCTGAGGTTCTCGCGTCTACACCTGCCTGCTCCGCTCCGGAAGCCAGGTCCTGAGGGGAGAGGATGCAGCAACGGGCGCCTAGCTTCCTCACACGCAGGACTCAGCCGGCCCGCGGGACCAAGCGCGACCTCGGGAGTGCGCAAGCGCGCCGACCCAGCGCCGGTGAGCTCGCCGGCCGCCGAGTGCAGCAGTCAATCGAGAGCTCCCAGGCAGTTGCGTCACCGTGAGGCTGACCAATCAGTGCTGACCTGACCATTGCTTCCGGCCTGCCCTCTCACCTGAGGCCGGGGGAGGGCCCGGCTGTAGCAATAGACTAAGGAGTTCGGGAGCATCCACTAGGAACCCGCCCCGCCGGGCGTGGGCCCAGGTAAGTGCAGCGGTGTCCCCATAGCATCGGTGACAGGACCGGGGGGACTCCTATCCGGGGAGGTTGGGGCGGCTCAGAGCCGAGGTGCCTCCGGTTTCCCGCTCCCCCTCCTCCATTGGCTGCGTTTGCTGGGACGGTCGATAGAGGAGGGAGAGGGACTGACTGTACCTGTGTTCTCTGCTGCACACCTGCGGGGCACCGCCCCCACCCCTACCCCTACCTCGAACCCCCAAATTCCAGCCCAGGGACCGGGTTCACAGCACGCCCCCACTGCAGCCTTAGGACCGCAGTGATTTGAAGAAGCCGATCGCTGAAGTCTGAATGATTTAGAGGAATGGAGCGTCCACGGGCCTGTCCGTAGTCTTCTCCCTTGACGTTGTTGGGAGCAAATCTCCTTGCCCTGGGATTAGTGTAGGCAGATGGTCAGGGCCCTACAGCTCCGACATATGCTCCTGATGGCAGTGCGGGGGACCCACCTGTCGGCCAAGTGCGGGAACTGGATAAAAGCCAGGGTGCCTCCTGCCTGCCGCCGGGGCTGGGCGGACTCTGTTTATTCTTCAGGAAGGGCCCTCACTCCCATACAAGCTCTGTCTTCTCTTTTAACTCTAATGCCGCTTTGGAGTAGTTCCTGCACTTGGCAGCCAGAAAAACAACTTTAATAGCCAGTGCACAGCAGATAGGAGTGGGGGTGTAATAGAAAAAAGAGGAAGCCCTTAGATTTGGGAGAAGTAAACATTTGGATGCCTCCTGGTGCAGGGTTGTGGCTTTTAGGACGTCTACCCCCTACTTGCCCTGTTCTGGCTCTCTCTCTCTCTGTGTGCAGATAGATGCACATGTGGATGTGGAGGCCAGAGGTCAACCTGCACATCTTCCTTGTTTTGTTTTGTTTTTAAGACAGGATTTCTCACTAGCCTGGGGCCACTGATTAGGCTAGGGTGACAGGCAAAGGAGCCCCAAGGATCCACCTCTTCAGCTCTGGGATTATAAACAAGTGCCATTATGCCTCACTTAAAATTTTTATTTTACATTTATTTATTGTGTGTGTGTGTGTGTCTCATGGCTCACATGTGGAGATCAGAAGACAACTTGCAGATGCGGGTTCTCTCCTTCCACCATGTGAGTCCCAGGGATCAAACTTAGGTTGTCCAGCTTGACAGAAAGTATCTTTATCCAATCAGCCACCCGGCTGACCACACCTCTCCCCCCACCCTCAGGACACACTTTTTTTTTTCTTTTTTAACATGCGTTGAACTCGGGTCCTCCTCCTTACAAGGCACTTTACCAACTAAGCCATCTTCCCAGGCCTCTTGTCTTTGTTTGTGAGACATAGGGCTCACTATGGAGGCCAAGCTAGCCTGGACTCAGAGCAATCCTGCCTTGGGGGGGGGGGGGGCGCTGAGAGTGCAGGCATGTGCCACCACACCAGGCTATTCTCTCGATCTTGGAAGGGATCTGTGGATAAACTGACCCAGAAAGGCAGCTGGCTTTTGTGGTGCTGAGTCTGTTTAACCAAACGACCGAAGGACCGAGTTACATTTGTTTTTAGAGGTTTGTGGTGAAGTAGAGGTTGCTTCCGTGGGAGACGTGCCCTCTATCCCTTCGCTTCTGCAAAAACAATGATATCTCAGGATCCCAGAATCACAAGACCTCCATACACCCACTTCAAGAGTCCTGTGACCCAGTGACCCAAGCCAGGTTGCATGGTGATCTCACAGGAAGAGGCATGTGACCTGCTGGGGAAGCATCCTGTGGAGAGGCACAAAGGAGTTGTGGTTGGTCAAGGATGTTTGCCCGGTATGGCCTTTAGCTCAGATGTGACTAGTGCCTGAGTCCCCACTTGGAAGGGAGTTGGTAAATACAGCCCCTGCTCCATCCTGTTTCTGCAGCAGAGTATTCTTCCATTAGCTGCCCAGAAGGTTCAACTATGTCTGAAAGAAAATTACTGCTTAGTCATTTATCTGAAGGAAAATGTTTCAAATACATCTTTACTTTTTGAGCTCAACCTTCAGGCTCAGCTTGACTTAATTGGTTGTTTATACATTGAATTGTGAATTGGGTTTGGTTTTGGTTTTTCGAGACAGGGTTTCTCTGTGTAGTTTTGGTGCCTGTCCTGGATCTCACTCTGTAGACCAGGCTGGCCTCGACCTCACAGAGATCCGCCTGGCTCTGCCTCCCAAGTGCTGGGATTAAAGGCAGTTTGCAACTACGCCCGGCTGTGAATTGTTTTTGGAGGAGGTGGGGATTGAGACAGACTCTTACAATGTAGCCTAGGCTGGCCTTGAACTCCTCATCCTATTTCTGCCTCTTACGTGCTGGAACTACGGGAATGTACCACCTTGGCTGGCTTGAGTTTTATTTCCTTTTTTAAAAATTGCTTTTTAAATTTATTTGTTAATATTGTGTATGTGTATGTGTGTGCGCATACTAGTAACAGAGGGCAACTTTGTGTAGTAGGTTCTCCTCTTCTACCTTTATGTGGACTCAGGAGGTTAAACTCACATCGCCAGCCTTGTGTGGCAAATGGCCTTTACCTACTGAGCCTTGTTGTCCACCTCTGGCTTGATTTTTCTCCTCAAGAGACCGGAACCTGGTAAGACAGCAAACACCTGTAATGCCAGCACTAGGGAGACTGAGGCAGAAAGATTGTGGGGTTCAGGCCAGCCTGGACTATATAGTGAGACCTTGACTCCAACATATAAACAAAAACTGAGGTGAATGTGTAATGGTTTTGTATCCAGTGATAAAGTGACATCAGTGACAGTCACAGAGGTCATGCTGGACACTGAACAATGTTTATCCTAAGTTCTGTGTCTGTGTTACCTCATTTAGTTCGTAGGAGGTAGGTCCCTTTTCCTTTCTGTTTGTCACATGTTGTTACATGTACTCAAGGCACAGAGAGGATAGTTAGCTTTGGTGATGTTAGAAGCCACCTGTGGGGGTGCACACCTGTAAGCCTGTCACTCGGGAGGTGGAGTTAGGCGTTCAAGATCATCCTCTGCTTCACAGTGAGTTGGAGCTATGGGAGACCCTGTCTCAAAGCAAAATAAAAACAAACAAAATAATAAAGAGAAGAAGTCATAGAGCCAGGCCCCAAACTCTGGTGCTCTGGATTCTGACAACTCTCAATGGTCAGTGTGAAGCAGGTAGAGGGGCCTTCAAGACTGGCCCAGAGGAAGGAAGGATAGACAGTTGGTGCCACTGGGGCCCCAACTAAGGTCTCTAGACAGAGATGAACTCAGAAAGCTAGTATCCTGATTCCCACCCCACCCACATGTGTACACGTGAGTGTGTGTGTGTGTGTGTGTGTGTGTGTGTGTGTGTGTGTTTGCTAGAGAGGAAGAGAGAGCCCCTGTGGTTGAAGAGATCATTGGTTCTGTGGGAACACTCCATTCTCCTCACCCCCCCCCCAAAAAAAAATCACTGCATTCTGGTGCGTCTGGTGCATTCTGGTGGTCAGTCTCCCTCCTGGAGTTTCTATTTCAGGTCATGGATGTTTCTCAAAAGTTGTCCCTGCCTGCCTCTGGCTTCCTGTTGCATATCCCTGCAAGACCGCTTTCTCCTTTGTGACTGTCAGACTCACTGGGTTCCAAAAGAGCCGATTTTGCCTGAGGCAGATGCTCCTATTTCCAGATTGTTCCATCTCCAGTCCTCATCACACTGGCAGAGCCTTCTGGAGCGCCCCCGTGCCTGTGGCAGACTGCAAGAGTGGAGCGGCCTGGCACAGCCTCGAGGTCCCTAAATAAACTTACCTATCTTCCCAGTACTTCCAATTCCCGGGCTGGACTCTCTCGACAGGTTCTCACGTAGCTGAGGCGGACCTTCAACTCTACCTTTCTGAGTGTTGGGATTACAGGCGTGAGCCACCACACCTAGTCTCTGGGATGCTGGAGATGAAACCCAGCACTCCGTGCATGCTAATATAATTAATATAAATTGGGTGTGGTGGTGCACGCCTGTAACCTCAGCACTTGGGAAGCAGCGGCAGGAGGATCAGAAGTCAAGATCATCCTAGCTACAGAGAACATTTGAGACCAGCCCTGGGGCACATGAGACCCTGTCTCAAATTTAAAGAGGCAAAGCATCCCCATAATGAGAAAGAAGAAGAGACAAAGAAAGAAGTTTATACTAAAAGGCACGCTTTGCTTCTGGTTGCTATGGTGACTGCTTGCTTGTCTCTTGGGAACCTCCATGTGCCGTGTGTGGGATGATGCAGCCACTAAACAAGGTTTCCATGATGTCCCCTGGTCCAGGAGCCATGACACTGATGGCTTTTCTCTTGTCCCCATCTTCGCCACAGCACTGTGGCCATGCCTGCCTCTGTGCTGTGGGCCGTGGACCTCTTCGGGAGAGTGTATACCTTGTCGACGGCTGGCCAGTACTGGGAGCTCTGCAAGGATGTCCAGATGGAGTTCAAGCGGGTCAGCGCAGCCACTCAGTGCTGCTGGGGCATCGCCTGCGACAACCAGGTCTACTTGTACGTGTGCTCCAGTGATGTGCCCATCCGCCACCGAGAGGAGGCCTATGAGAATCAGGTAGTGCTGGTGGGGGGGGGGGGTGGGGGGGGTTGCTGAGGTGGTCCGCTCCCCTCCAGCTCGTCCCTGAGACCACCCCTGTATCTCCTGGCCTCAGCGTTGGAACCCCATGGGAGGCTTCTGTGAGAAGCTCCTGCCGAGTGACCGCTGGTCGTGGAGTGACGTGAGTGGGCTCCAGCATCGGCCGCTGGACGGGGTAGCCCTGCCCTCGCCACACTGGGAATGGGAATCGGACTGGTACGTGGATGAGAACTTTGGAGGGGAGCCCACCGAGAAAGGGGTAGGTGAACTCAGTACCCTCCATGGATGCCCCTTGGGCTGCTCAGCTTGTCCCCCGGTGGCACCCTCCCTGTTGGTGTCCAACCTCTGCTTGCTACGGGATTGGATACCCTAGTCCCTCCTTCCCTCCACCTTCCCATCCCTTCAGATTCCACGCCCTCCCCCGCCAAGCCAGATAAGGCTCCAACCTTGGTATTTCAGGGGTGGACGTACGCTATGGACTTTCCCGCCACCTACACTAGAGACAAGAAGTGGAATTCTTGCGTGCGGAGGCGGAAGTGGATCCGGTATAGGAGATACAAATCCCGGGACGCCTGGGCCAAGGTCTTTGTGCCTAAATGGGGCAAGAGTGTGGGTGGGGCATGGGGTCCCCGATAGGGTCACAAGGATAGGCATCTTCTTCCCCGCACTGGGGTGCAAGGGGACACCATGCCCACCCTAGGACCTGGCCTTTGATTTATTTGCTGTAGCCCTACAAGTCCCCTCATTTGGGAGACAGCCACACAGGGTCCAAAGTCAACACTGAACTTGTCCTTTCCCCTCCCCCACCAAAGCTCTAACGTTGTCCCCATGACCCAGAGCCAAAGCAGTGGCTCAGGTCTGGCGTCGTATGAAGGGGACAGAACAGAGGGTATCCATGGCCAGGTCCACAGGCCTGCAGTCTTGTGAAGTCAGACAGGATGGCCCACGGGGAGGGTGGAAGGACTGGAGGAGAGGCCGGCGGGGGAGGGTGACGCAGTGCAGGTCACCAGGTGGTGACAGCCATTGCTTCTCACCCCTTTTTTTTTTTTCAGATCCCCTCGAAGGATGACCCCAAGGAACTCCCTGACCCCTTCAATGACCTGTCTGTGGGAGGGTGGGAGATCACAGAGGAGCCTGTGGGCCGCCTGTCAGTGTGGGCTGTGTCCCTGCAGGGAAAGGTAAGTCCCGCTACCACGGTGCCCGAGGTTTGACATGGCAAAGGAGGCCAGCTGCAGGCTGCAGCGGTGCAGAAGGAAGAGAGCTGTTGGCCTCCTGTCCCTGGAACTGGGACTGCCTGGGCGGGCAGAAAAGTTACCAGACTCCACAATACCCTGGAAGCCTTGGGACCTGTCCCTCGTCCTAGCCCACTTCAGACTCAGATGTAATCAATTCTGTCTCCTTGGGACAGGTTCTGGGCTCCCTGCCAGCTCCTTCCTCCAGTCTCCAGGAGCATTGTGGATGTGTGGGTGGGCGAATGGCCGATGTGTGGAGAGACTGATGGTGTGTAGCTGGATGGATGATGGTGGGTATATGGATGGATGGATGATGTAGCGTAAGTAGATGTGATAGATAACAGAAGACTCCTGGGTGGGTAGGTGGGTGGGTGGGTAGATGACAGGGAGACGAATGGGTCAGTGGTGGGACAAACGGATGGTGGGTGAGTGAGTAGATGGTTGGGTGGATGGTTGAATGGATGATGGGTGTGTGAATGGATGGGAAGTGATTAGGTGGATGAGGAGTGGGTCAAGTGGTTGATGGGTGGGAGGGTGTGGATGCATGATGTGCGGGTGGATGGATGGTAGGTGTATAGATGGAGGGTGAGGGAGATGTATAGGTGAGTAGATGGATAGATGGATGGATGGTTGGATGGATGGGTAGGTGATAGGTATGTAGACTGGTAGTGATGGATAGATGCATATTTAGGGAGAAATCTTTTCTCAGAGAGTTTGTGAAAAACACCAAACCTGGATGGCAACAGGAACACAGATGATCCTGAGCATAGGGGTCTGATGCCTTCCTTGTGGTTTTAGATCTTATTTTATGGTTATTCAGTAACTCCTGCATTAACCACATTAACCACAGGTCTTCACTGTCTTTGGAACAGTCAGCAGATTCTTTTCAGCAGGCTTACCTTTGGCTGGGGTCATGCTCTCTCAGGTTTAGGTAAACCACAATCCTTTCCTCGGAGCCTTTCTGAAGGGTGGTAGAGAGGGGCCGAGCAGAGTGGGAGCGCCAGCTCAAGACACTCCACCTGGATGCAAAGAGAAGGTAGAGTAGGGCCACCCACCTGAGTGCCAGCTAGCTGTGAGCCAGGATCACCCGGCACCACCCCTGCGCTCCACAAGAAGTGGCCCCAGGGCCCTGTGCTCCGGGAGGGAGAGACTTGTTCCCTGAGGCTGCCTACTTGGTAGCCAAAGAGGGGCTTCCCAGAGCTGGTCCAGCAGGGCCCATCGTAAGGGTAGGGTGGCAAGACCAGAGAAGTCAGGGTCCCTAGTCTGAAGACGGTTCTGCGGAGCCATCCTTCCCTTATCTCCTTTACCTGAACTGAATCAACTGCATAGGTATGTGCTATCGATCCCAGCTACAAGTCCTATTCTGTGGGCCCTGTGCATACGTGACCATGCACAAATATGAACATGCACATGCATGCACTCGCGCGCACATGCACACACACACACACACACACACACACACACACACACACAGACATAACTACTTTTGAGATACCATCTCACCGGAGTCAGAATGGCTATCATCAAGAAATTAACGGACAACAATCCTTGGCAAGGATATGGGAAAGAGGAATTTCATTGTTCAGGTTAAAGAGCAAAAGAAGCGGACATTTCAGACATTGGGTTGTCGTCGCCCCCCCACCCCCACCCCTGCCTGCCTTCCCCTGTGACAGGTGTCCTGGGAGCACTTCACCACTAGGGGGCACAGGTTTCATGGACTGCCTGGGAGCTGCTGAGCACTCCATGCTGACACTGGAGTCGGCTTGCAGTTGTTCTCACAGGCAGCTGCCGAGAATAGGTCTGTCTCTCTAGACCCACCAAAATCCAGGCTTTGCACTTTCTCACCAAGGTGTGTATATGAAGGGAGGTCTACAGAGTGAAGATCTGTGAGTGTGTCAGAGACCCTCATATGTGGCCTCTGCAGGTAGACAGATTTGATGATGTGAATACCACATTTGCTTCTCTCCTCCCAGGTGTGGTATCGAGAGGATGTCAGCCACCCCAACCCAGAAGGCTCCTCCTGGTCTCTTGTGGATACCCCAGGAGAGGTGGTCCAGATCAGCTGTGGGCCTCATGACCTCATATGGGCCACCCTCTGGGAGGGGCAAGCCCTGGTCAGAGAAGGAATCTGCAGGAATAACCCAAAAGGTAGCCAGCCCCGTAACAGGAAGCGGGGTACTTCCTGTCCAGAATCTTGGCTGATGGAGGCTGCCTGGGGTTTCTTTGGGGACTGGCAGGAAGTTCCTGGTCCATAGTGGAGCCTCCTGGGTCTGAAAATGGTATCATGCACGTCTCCGCGGGAGTCAGTGTGGTCTGGGCCATCACAAAGGACCGCAAAGTAAGAGCTGGGGGCTGGAGCTGGGGTGGGTAATGGTGCCATTTAATACCAAGGGTTTTTGTTCCTGTGAGCATCTTCTAAACCCATTAGTACAGATCCTGTGAGTTTTTCTTTTCTTTTTGAGATGGTATACTAAACATAGTATGTAGCAGAGGCTGGCCTTGAGCTTCCGACCCTCCTGCTCAGATTACAGACATTTACCATCATACCTGGCTGACGCAGTGCTGGGGACCAAACCCTGGACTTCATGCATGCCAAGCAACTCCTCTACCAGCTGAGCCACATCCCCAACCCCTACTGCGAGCTTTTTCTGGTGTTGAAATCATCACCCACCTCTGGGATGTTTGATGCCGGCTTGTGGTACCCTCACTCACATCCCTGGACTAAAATACTGAACAGCCATGTTTATTATTCTATAGGCCAACCATATCAGATAATGGGAAGCCAATATGCCAGCAACCTTGGCCATTTAAATGCTTTTCTTCTCTCCTCTGCCACTTGTATCTTACCAGAGGCAGGTCCAGTCACATTAGCCAATTTTATATGCCTTTGTGAAATCTATCTGTCCATCTATCATCTCCCTGTCTGTTGTGGTGCTGGGGGAAGGAAGCTAGGACCTTGTACATCATGGATTCATTCTAACTGTATGTAGGAGCCATTCCTGCCAACCCAGTACCTTAAAAAGATTTTCTGGAATGAGCCAGTGAGGTGATTCATTGGGTAAAGGTGCCTGCCACTAAGCTTGACAACCTGAGTTCAAGCCCCAGGACATACGTGGTGGAGGGAGAGAACCAACCCCCACAATTGTCCTCTGACCTCCACATGCAAGCTGTATGATACGTGTCCCTCTCTGCCCACCCCCCAAATAAATAAATAAGCTCCCCTCAGATTCGGAGGTGGCTCAGTTGGTGGGTAAAACACTTACTTGCCTTGCTATCATGAGGACCTGACTTCCAGCCCTAGACCCGATGTGAGAGTGCTGGGCATGCTGGTGTGTGCTTGTAATCCCCTTGCTGGGAGGTGGGATCAGACGGATCCCTGGAGCTTGCAGGCCGGCCCGCCAAGCTTACTTGGCAAGGTTTAGGCTGGTGAGAGACCCTGTCTCAAAAAAAAACCAAGGTGGACGGCACTTGTGGAATGACAGATGAGGTTGTCCTCTGCCCTGCACGCATATCTGCATGCTCAAGCACACAGACAGACAGACAGATGGATGTCCGGACGGATGTGCGTGCGCGCACATACAGACACACACACACGCACGCACGCACGCACGCACGCGCGCAGACCTCGGTCTCCAAAGATCTCCAGGAATGCATGCTTCTTTCTGATTTTCCAGGTGTGGTTCCGAAGGGGTGTCAACTCCCACAACCCCTGTGGCACCAGTTGGATCGAGATGGTTGGAGAAATGACAATGGTCAATGTGGGGCTGAATGACCAGGTAGATATGCACGTGGTTCATCCCAGTACAGCTTATCTACCTGCCACCCTCCCGTCCCTTCTTCCTCAGCAGGGATTCCAGATGAGCACAGTGAGGGTACATGGGGGTGGGGAGAGTGAGGGGGTTCTAGAGTTCTGGCATCTCTATTTGGCTCAAGGTCGTTTCACTTAGGACCCTGCAGGGCAGTCTCCTGGTGAGGAAGGGTGGGGCATGCATTCTAGCTATAAGAAGGTAGCATTGAGAGACTTGGGGTGGGGGGCGTTGCTAAATGAGAGAACTGTGTTCCTTCTCTTTGACTCTGTGATGCCATGTTTTTCTCATGGATGTCATCTTTACAGTAGGACAGTGTTTCCTTCCTCCTAAAAAATAGTGCGGTTTGGGGCTGGAGAGATGGCTCAGTGGTTAAGATCACTGGCTGCTCTTCTAGTGGACCCGGGTTCGATTCCCAGCACCGTATGGCTCACAACTGTCTTTAACTCCAGTTCTAGGGGATCCAACTACCTCTTCTGGCCTCTGCAGGCACCAGACATATATGTGGTACACAGACATGTATTCAGACACAACATTAGACACATAAAATAATGGGTTTTTTGTTTTGTTTTGTTTTTGTTTTTTGAGACAGGGTTTCTCTGTGTAACCCTGGCTGTCCTGGAACTCGCTCTGTAGACCAGGCTGGCCTCTAACTCATAGATCCACCTGCCTCTGCCTCCTGAGTGCGGGGTTTAAAGGTGTGCCCCACCACCACCCATCTAAAAAATAATTTTTATAAAGATGTGAGGGGTTGGAGAAGTGGCTCAGTGGTTTAAAGTGCTTACTACTCTTACAGAGGACCCTGGTTCAGTTCCCAGCACCCACATTGGACAGCTCACAGTTGTCTATAACTCCAGTTCCTGGGGATCAAACACATTCTTCTGGCCTTTGCAGGCACATGCACACCTGTGGTGCACATAAACTCGTTCAGGGACAGACATACTTATAAATAAATAATTCTTGGGTTAGATCCCTAGTGCCACATAAAACCAATGTTGTGCATGCCTGCAATCCCAGCATGGGGAGGTGGAGGCAGGAGGATCAGAAGTTCAAAGTCATCCTTGCTGACATAGTAAGTTCCAGCCCAGCCTGGGCTACATGAGGCCCTATCTCAAAAAATAAAACACGAAACTGGAGAGATGGCTGAGCAGTTAAGAGCACATATTGCTCTTGGGAAGATCCAAGTTCTGCTCCCCGTACCCATCTTGGGACAGCTCACAACCACCTCTAACCAAGGGATCCAATGCCTTCTGGCCTCCATGGGCCCCTGCATTTGTATGCACACACCTACACACATACACACAAAAATACACATAATTAGTTTTTTGTTTTTTTTTTAATTAAGGCAAAAGCACCAAGAGGACTCTGTGTCCCAGCACAGTACCTGTCAGCCCTGTCTACCCTGGACCTTGTCATCCCATAGCCCCAGTCTGAAGTTTTGGAGACCCAGAGCCAGGCTTCTGATTCTCTGGATTTGCTCTAACCTCTCACTTCCCCCAGCCCTGCCAGCCTTTTCCTGCCTGGATTTCCGGGTTTCTGCAATCATCTGCCACCCCCACCAGATATTCCTAGTCCTGACAAATGCACTCCTACTTGCCCCCTGTGTCACGATAAGGGGACTCCTGTCTGCATTTGCATACCTGTCCTGCAGCCCTATTGAGCACTCCTGGACCCTCCACTCTTCCCCAGCCCCTGACAGAAGGGGTAGGAGCTCCAGGTATGTGCCCAGCTGCCTCTCAACAGCACCCCTGTCTGTTCCAGGTCTGGGGTATCAGCTGTGAGGACAGAGCTGTGTACTTCCGACAGGGCGTCACCCCCAGTGAGCTCAGCGGGAAGACATGGAAGGCCATCGTTGTGGGCCGAGAAAGTGACCGGTCACACTCCGGCAGCTCATCCAGTCTCCTCAGGTGACACCAGGCAGCAGGGCACAGAGGAGTTGGGTGGGACAGACTGTCTGTGGCCTCATGGGGCAAGGCCAATGACCTTGCAGAAAATCAGTCTTTATCAGAGGATTGTGAGTTCTAGACAAGCCTGAGCTGCACAGTGAGACTTTGTTCCAACAAAAACGAAAAGACAAAAGAAAAAATTCTGTAGCTAGGCACCCTAATCATATCTTGATTACTATGATAAAACACTCTTACCAGAAGCAATTTAGTGGAGGAAAGAGTTTATTTCAATTGCAAGCCATAGTCCATCATTGAGGGAGTCAAGACAGGAACTTGAAGGCAGGCCTGCTTGCTGGTCCACACATTGAGCATTACCTCTGACTAAAGAAGTTACAGCCAAGCGAGGAGTTACAACCTGAACTATGCAGGAACGCTGCTTACCGGCTCACCCACAGGCTCATGCCTATCTAGCTTTCTTCTATAGCTCAGGACCACTTGCCCAGGGAATGGTGCTGCCCACAGTGGGCTGTGCCCTCTACATCAATTAATTATCAAGACTCCCCCACAGACTTGCCCACAGGCCAGTATGACCTAGGCAATTCCCAGTTGAGAGTCACCTCCCAAATGACTGATTCTAAGCTTGTCAAGTTGACAGTTGAAGCTAACCAAGACACTGGGTAATAGTTAACAGTTGCATGGATTTTTAAGTGTGCAAAATGCTACTGGATTGTATGCTTTAAAGTAGTCAGTGTAGTCCAGAGATGGTAGTACACACCTGTAATCCCAGTGCTTGGGGATGTGGAGGCTGGAGGGTCATAGTGAGTATGATGCTAACACCCTGTTTCAAAACAGCAACAGCAATAAAGGTCAACTTTAGTTGGGCATGGTAGCACGTGCCTTGTAATCCCATCACTCAGAGGCTAAGGCAGGAGGATCACAAATTCAAGGGCTGCCTGGACTACAGAAGGAGTTCAAAATTACCTACAAAGGTAATTTAGTGAGGTCATCTTAAAATACAAAAGTACAGCTGGGTGGTGGTGGCACATGCCTTTAGTTCCAGCAGAGGCGGGTGGATCTCTGAGTTTGAGGCCAGCCTGGTCTACAGAGCGAGTTCCAGGACAGCCAAAGCTGCACAGAGAAACCCTGACTCAAAAAAACCAAAATAGATAGATAGATAGATAGATAGATAGATAGATAGATAGATAGATAGATAGACAGATAGACAGATAGATAGATAGAAGATAGATTGCTCTTTGTTAAACCACTTCTCTAGCCCTGGATTTAATCCTCACTCCTACAATAATAATAATAACAATAATAATAACACCAACAAAAACAGAAGAAGAAAAAAAACCCTCAGTATACTTTCCCCTAATCAGAGAGACACCAGAGAGCTGGTGATGTTGGAGCAGTGCTCGTCTATCATGCACGAAGTTCTGGGTTACATCCTCAACACCACATGAACTAGGTATGGCGGTACACTGTAATCCTGGCATTTGGAAGGTAGAGGCAGGAGAATCAGGAGTTTAAGGTCATCCATGGTTATATAATGAGTTTGAGACCAGCCCTGGGATACATGAGACCCTGTCTCGGTACTCCGGTTGAGTGTGGTGGGATTGCTATAAATTCAGGGGTAGCTACAGAATGAGTTCCAGGCAACATGGAATATAGCCTGTCTGTGTCATGGAGGATAACCCTTGAACTCCTGGTCCTCCTGCCTCTACCTCCCCCAAACTGAGATGACAGGCGTGCACCCAGTTTTATGGGGTGCCGAGAACCAAACTCAAGGCTTCACCCATTCCAGGCAACTGCTTTACCAACTGAACTACTTCCCCAGCCCATCTAAGAACAACAAATCCACATCCCCCTTCAATCCTTTGGGGTGTGATGGGGTCTTCAGCCCCTGGGAAGCAGAGTCCATGTGTGCTGGACAGGAGCAGCAGACAGCTCCGTGAGCTTGCGACTTGGCTGAATCCACACAGTTAGTTCCAGTGGCAAAACACATCTTCCACCAGGAAGTGAGTTTGTCCTGTTTTGTCCCCAGCGCTGGCTGCTTCTTCGGTGATGAGGTGAGGGGCAGTGGTTCGGAGTCTGCACCCAGTGATACCGATGCCTCCTCGGAAGCCGAGAGACAGGGCCCCGAACAACCTCTCCCCAAAGAATCTTTGGACAATTCCAGGAACCTTAAAGAGAGCTTGTCCAAGGGCTCCGAGACCAGCAGGAACACCGAGCAAAGCATGGAGAACTCCTGCCTGGCCAAAGGCGAAGGGAAGGCTCCTGAGGCCTCTAGCGCCGATGAGTGCCACGGCCCAGCCTCCACACCAGCCGAGCTGCCCTGGACCAACATTGACCTAAAGGAGCCCAAGAGGGTGTCTAACCAGCCAGCTGCAGGCTTTCCTGAGACTACAGGCCTCTCCTCCCTGGGGCTCTTCCCACTGGGCATGGAGGAGCCCTACGGGGCAGATGACCATCCTCTGTGGGCCTGGGTGTCTGGAGGAGGGTGTGCCGTGGAGGCAGGCTCTGTGCTCAAGTGGTTCACTGTCCAGCCAGGTGAGGGAGCCCATGGGACTGGTGTGTCTCCAAAGCGTCCCCGTGAGTGTCTGTGGGTGCGCGGGGTATAGGTTAGCCTGAGGACCGGCCAACTTGCCGCCCTGCCTGATGGCTCTGTGCTCAACAGCCTTAACTAGGCAAGACCTTGGGTCAGTCCAGCCTTCTGAGGCTCCAGGGAGGAAGGCTCACAGGGCAGTTTGTAAGATGGAACTTTCTGGCAAGAACAGATTGGAGCTGGGGAGGTGTCTCCATGGGTAAAATGCTCGCTGTGCAAAGCATGAGGACCTGAGTCCTCTAGGGAGAGCCCAGGTACGAGTTGGGTATGGCGGTATATGCCATTAACCACAGTCCTGGAGCTCACTGGCCAGGCAGCGAAAGTAGTGAGAGATCCTGTCTCAAAGAAAAAAAAGTAAGGTGGAGAAATGATTGAGAAAAGATACCCCGCCATCAGCACATACACACACAAAGAGAAGGAAGGAAAAGAGAATTTATTTATTTATTTTTATTTTTTATTTTTTTTGGTTTTTTGAGACAGGGTTTCTCTGTGTAGCTTTGTGCCTTTCCTGGATCTCGCTCTCTGGACCAGGCTGGCCTCGAACTCACAGAGATCCGCCTGCCTCTGCCTCCCGAGTGCTGGGATTAAAGGCGTGCGCCACCACCGCCCGGCGGAAAAAAATAATTTAAAGACTGGTTTGGGGACTATTGGAGTTGCTGCAACAAAAACCCCTGCCAAGGAGGGTTTAGGAGGGAAGGCTAATTTTGGCATCATGGTGGAGGGAGCCACACTGCACCCACAGTCAAGAAACAGGGATGGGTGCTGTTTTCCTTTTTATTCAGGCTGGGGCCCCAGCTCATGGGATGGTGCTGCCCCACATTCAAGGTGGGTCCGCCCATCTCAGTTAACCCTGTCTAGACACTCCTTCGCTGGGTCTGGATCCTGTCAGATCATCACAGGGATGGGGGTGTAGGGAACCACACCAGCCACTTGTCCAGCTGCAGGCAGGATGGCACCTGGCCTGAGGCTCTGGCCTCTCGCAGGCCTGTCCTCGTCAGTGCAGACGCTGTCCCTGTCCATCACGCCCGCCCAGACCGCGGCCTGGAGGAAGCAGATCTTTCAGCAGCTCACGGAAAGGACCAAGCGGGAGCTGGAGAGCTTCAGACACTACGAGCAGGCTGTGGAGCAGGTAGGGCTGGCTCTGCCGCACTCCGTGTGCTTGTTCGGAGATCGGGTCTCACTGTGCCCCCACGCTAGCCTGGAACACGTTCTGTAGCCCAGGCTGATGTCACCTTGGTCATCCAACTGCCTCCGCCTCCCGAGTGCTGGGGTCACAGGCACTCGCCACCACACCAGCTCCTGCTCGTTTAGTGATGGCTTCTTCGCTGTATGCCAGCCCTGATGCGAGGTGTTTGTCCCACACACCCAGCAGTACTTCCAGGTCCCAAAGCAGATCCAAGGATAAGGAATAGAGTTGGTGGTTTATTCATCTATCCTGAAGGACTTTTCTTGGGGCCCCACTGCCTTCAGGGCACCCTGCGGGCCCCGGGAAGCCAGTGTCCTCAAAGGGTGGTGGACAGGGTGGAGAAAGACCTACCATGCCACCTTGTCTGTCCCCTTCCAGGAGCCTAAACTTCCAGGTGTGGTATTTTGATGAATTGAGTCAGGATGGAGTTGTAGACAGTCACTGCCCTCCCCAAGGTCACCCTCCTTGGCATACCTCATACCCTTGAAGGCAGAGACCCAACCTTGGATGTGTGTCATAGTCAGGCCAGGGAAAGAGAAATTAAATAGAACACAAGAAATCTTGGCCTAGGCTGGCCCAGAAGCTTGTGGGCCTGTGCACCTGGCAGCCTGAGACCTTGATTGCCAGGACTGACTCCCTCTCGGATTTTGGCCAGGTGTGACCTCTTCCTTGAGCCTCAGTTTCCCTGTCCAGAACATGGGCTAAGGATGTATGTGTCCACAGAAACTGCTGAGACAGCTGTGTGTCTGGCGCCACCTAGTGTCCACTTGTGGCACTGACATCAGTGGAAGTGAGAAACAGCTAGGAGGGAGGAGGCAAAGGAGAGGCCAAGGGCTAGAATGGTCGTGAGGCTCTGGGAAAGAGCTGCCTGTGGCCTCTCCCAACCGCTCTGGGTTGTCCGTGTCACAGTCGGTGTGGGTGAAGACCGGGGCCCTGCAGTGGTGGTGTGACTGGAAGCCCCACAAATGGGTGGACGTCCGTGTGGCCCTGGAGCAGTTCACAGGACATGACGGGACTCGAGACAGCATCCTCTTCATCTATTACATGGTCCATGAGGAAAAGAAGGTACAGGGTGGGAAGCCCTTGTCAGGGGAGGAGGGCCGTCAAGGGATGGCGCTGGAGGTGCTAACCCCAGAACTGTCCTCATGGTCAAAGCCCAATGTGGGCACATGTGGGCCTGTGCTGCGGCCTCACCACACCAGCACCCCTCTGACAGTAGCTGATTTTTTTTTTTAATCCAAATATCACTGTATATTTTCCTAGTCCTTTTTATTTTGAGATGGAGCCTCACTAAGTTAACCAGCATGGCCTGGAACTCCCCACGTAGCCTAGGATGGCCTTGAACTCACCATCCTTTATGTCACCCTCCCAGGTGCTGGGGTCACACGTTTGAATCGTGCTTGGCCGGACTTTGGCCTTTGAGATGAGGCTAGAGGTTGGGAAGATGACGCCTAGTCTCACGTGTGCCAGGCAGTCAACTTAAAGGTGTTTTTTTTTTAGGAGGAGCAGGTGGGAAACAGGCTCTCATGCACCACCATGCCTGGTCTATGCTGTGCTGGGGATTGAACTTGGTGCATGCGAGACAAGCACTCTATGAACTGATCACAGCCTCGGCCCCAAAGCACTTGTTCATCAAGTATAGCTTCAGCACTAGCAATTGGGTCACGAGGCCCAAGAACGAGGTCTAGATGAGGGTCCTTGCGTAAGGTGACAGGCTCACCATGCACCCCATCCCAACAGTACCTACATGTGTTCCTGAATGAGGTGACCGTGCTGGTCCCAGTGCTTAATGAAGCCAAGCACTCCTTTGCCCTCTACACTCCTGAGAGGACGCGACAGAGGTGGCCCGTGCGTCTGGCTGCCGCCACAGAGCAAGACATGAATGACTGGGTGAGTGATGGGGGTCTGAAAGGGCTTAGCGAGAACTGACCACCCAGGCCTCAGCCTGCCCGGCAGTGACCACCTGTGTACCCACGCCAGCTCGCCCTGCTCAGCCTGTCCTGTTGTGAGAGCCGGAAAGTCCATGGACGCCCATCCCCGCAAGCCATCTGGTCTGTCACCTGCAAGGGTGACATCTTTGTGAGTGAGCCCAGCCCAGACCTGGAAGCCCGTGAGCACCTGCTACCCTGCGACCAGATGTGAGTGGGCTGTGCCCTAAATAGACCTGGTACCTGGTCCCTCACACCGCCACCCACCCACTCTGAGGCTCCAGAGCTTGTGTTTCTAGAAAAGGCTTCCTTAGTAGGACCTGAACCCGCATACTGCAGCTTTTCACTGACCAGCCAGAAAAGTGGTTAGCTGTTTTCCTGGACCCTGAGACCCACTGAACCTGTTCAGGGCTGATCTCAGAGGCCATTGGTACCTACCAAATAGCTCTGGAGTAGCCTGGGGTACTTGGAGTGTGGTGTAGCCTAGGGTACTTGGAGTGTGGTGAATGCGATCTAGTCCCACCCCAAGGGACTTCCAGGGAAAAAGCAAAGAAACCACATTTCTCTCGCCAGACCTGAACCTGGAAGCTCAGTCCCTTTCAGCTCTGCTGAGACCCTGCGGTGTGGGCTCCCCGGAAGCAGAGAGGAGAGGGAGAGAGAAGCTCGGAATGTGTCTTAAGGGTGGAAGTCTTAGGAGTGGGGCAGAGAAGCTCTTGGGAGAATGGGGATGGGTTCTCATTGCCTTTAGCTATGGGGGATCCTAGAGCAGGGGTTTCTCTGTTGGGGCATTTGAAGCCATGGAGGGGGTAGGACACTGAGAATTTCAGTTGTTAGAGTATTTGCCTAGAATGTAGGAACCTTAGGTTCAATTCTCAGTACCCCATAAACTGAGTATCGTGGCACATGCCTTTAGTCCCAGTACTTGGAGGTGGAAGCAGGAGGATCGGAAGTTCAAGGTTATCCTCGGCTGCATAGAGAGTTTGAGGACAGCCTGGGATCCATGAGACATGATACAAGAGGTTCTCAAGGGACAGGTAGGAGCAGGGCTCTGGGGAAGAAGAGGATGGGCGAGGACTGCCAGGGAAGCCCTGGGCTCCCTTAGCAGTGACCACAGTCCAGCCCAGGAATCAATCATATACCGGAATTTCCCATGGGTAGCCAGGGCACTCATCCTGGTGGCGGAGGCAGAGCCTACAGAAAACCAACCCACCTTCCGACTTGGGAGGTGACTGTCTCCGGGTAGCCTTGCTGGGATGGCTTGGAAGCCAGCTGGCCACACTACCTTACACAAAGGATTAAATGGCACGTCCCCTGCTCTCTGCCATGACATTTAAGCCTGGATGCACCTAGCACACTGTGACCAACCTGACTCCACTTCCCAGCTCTGAGAGGGGAGCACGATGGATTAGACCCGAGTCCTGTCCCGTGGTCATTGTGGCCTAAGGGTGAGGGGGGACAAGATCTTAGGGACACCCTGCCTCTTGTATACCACTCCCGAATTGGTTAACTCAAACAGGAGCCAAGTGGGTGGGTCTGTTGTACTGGCATGGAGGTCTCAGACTTGTAGTATTTGGCCACGTGGGGCCTGTTGGATAACTGGACTGAGGGGCTTTTGTCACTCCTGCAGGTTCTGGCGGCAGATGGGAGGCCACTTGCGGATCATAGAGGCCAACAGCCGCGGTGTGGTGTGGGGCATTGGCTATGACCACACAGCGTGGGTATACACAGGCGGCTATGGCGGAGGCTGCTTCCAAGGTGAGGATGACTCCGAGCACCCGAGGCTGGCAAGATCAGTTCCCAACACCCTCTGAGTCTAACCTCCCCTGATCCCATCTGGCTAGCCTTCCCAGTGCCCCGGGCTGCTGTCCCACAGCTGGCTGACAGGTGACCTTCACCACTGCCAGCCTCCACAGAAGGCCATCCCAGGCCAATCCATGGCACTTGAGAACCCAGAGAATAGATAGGCCTAGCCTCTGAGATGCCCTCTGGGGATCCCACCAGCAGAGCAGAGGACCTCGAAGGTTCTAGAACAGCAGCTGCCTCTAGTATGTCCAGCACCTCATTTCATAGATGAAGTCGCAGAGTACTTTGGGGTACTCCAGAACCCATGCTCCCTGATTGTACCAAATTTCAAACTCTTTAGTGAGAAAGTGAGTCATCCCCACCACAGGGATCCCCAAGTTTAGGGTGGAAAGTAGAGACAAAAGCAAACTCGGAGGCGTGTTCTATGCCACAGCCCCGATACCCCACGGTGAGGAAGTAGTTGACCCTGGAGAACTGGGGTCCACCAAAGGAACCTACAGCCTCACTGGCCAAAGAACTTCCCTGGCCTCGAGGCAGCAATTGCTTTGGTCTCTGTCCTGCCTGTGAGGACATCCAGACTCACAGAGGTCAGATGTGTGGGCCGAGGTAGCTTTGCTAATAAGGTGAGCCTGGCAGGCACCCGCTGGGCACTGGATAAGAAGACAGGGTCTCTAAGAACGGAGGAGGGCCAGTTGGGCGGTCGCTTGCTTTTACTTCCAGCACTCAGGAAACTGAAGCCGGCAGATCTCTGTGTGTTGGAGGCCAGTCTAGGACATACAGTGAGACCCTGTTGCAGATCTCTCCCACGGAAGCTATGCGGTCCCAAAGGAATTATGAACACTCAAGAGACAGAAACCCAAGCGAGGCTGGTCCCTTTGAGATCCAGTCACCCATCTCAGCGTCCCCGCTCTGATCTGTTCAGACAGAAAGGCCAGGTTCCTGGCTGCAGCCTCAGGGTTAATGTGGCCTGGGTCCCAGCAGCCTCTTCTCCCCACTTCTCCAGGCCTGGCCAGCAGCACCAGCAACATTTACACACAGTCAGATGTGAAGAGTGTCCACATCTACGAGAACCAGCGTTGGAACCCTGTCACAGGCTATACCAGCAGGTAAGTGACGTGGATGCTTGGCGAAGGTGCCGTCTGGTGAAGGTGCCGTCTGGCCAAGGCCACAGACCTGGCAAAAGCTGGTTCAGCATAACCTGGAGCTGCTGTCAAGGCCTCCAGCCTGGAAGTAACTAGATGGTGTGTCTTTTTTAGGTGTGTGTGTGAGTGTGTGCACCTCTGTTCATGTGGAGCATACACATGTTTGTGTGGGTGCATGTGTATATGGAGGCCACCAAGCTCAGGTGTCATCTGTACCTCTCAGTGATAGGGTTTCAAGTATGGACCGCTGTACCCAGCTTCTCTTTTCTCCTCTAAGATTTATTTTCTTTTTAAATGTGTGTGTGTGTGTGTGTGTGTGTGTGTGTGTGTGTGTGTGCGCGCGCGCGCGCGTGCGCGCACGTGCACAAGTTTGTGCACATGAGTGCAGGTGTCCACGGAGGCCAGAAGAGTGCTGGATCCCCAGAGCAGGAGTTGTGAACCTCCTTCCATGGGTGCTGGGAATCAAACTCAGGTCCTCAGTGAGAGCAGTAATCCCTGAGCCGCCTCAGCCCTGGCCCGACTTCGTACGTGGGTTCTGTGGGTTGGAACTGAGTCCTCATGCTTGCAAGGATAGCTTTTACCGACTGCACGGTTCCCCAGACTCTTCCCTTTCTTCTTCAACTCTGTTCCTAGACCCTGTCTCTGTTGACAGATGGCCCAGGGGTGAAAAGTGCACACTACTGCAAAGCCCTGAGTTACTAACATGACCTCCTGTCACTCCAGCTCCAGGGGGTCTCATGTTCTCTTCTGGCCTTTGCAGGCACCTGCACACACGTACACACACACCTGCACACACACAAATACATATACATAACTTTTTGTTTGTTTTCAGTTTTGCTTTTTCAAGATAGGGTTTCTCTGTGTAGCCCTGGCTGTCCTGGAACTCACTCTGTAGACCAGGCTAGCCTCAGAGATCCACCTGCCTCTGCCTCCTGTGCTGGCATTAAAGGTGTACACCACCACACCTGGCTGGGAATACATTTTTTTTTTTAATATTTAAAAATAAAATGTAAGTAAAGGCCATAGAGCTATTCATCTCCCTCCCCAGGACTTCTGAGCTGGGTATAGCTCATGCCTTGTAATCCAGAACTCAGGAAGCTGAGGCAGCCACCTAGTGTGTCCCAGGACTATAAGGTGAGAGACTGTCTCACAAAGCAACAAAAACAAAAATCCTTTTGAGAATTCTTATTAGTGGGTAGTCACAGCTAGCCCAAACCACTCAGCTTGGTGACTGTCACATCAGAACCTGCCCAGACAACTTGTGCATGAAGGACATGAAGGACCATGTAGGTCTCTGTGGTGTCTGGTCGGTGGACACTGAAATCTGGAGTCCCAAGGAGCTGGGATTGCAAATGTGTGCCACTGCCCGGCTTTTTTTTTTTTAGCGTGGATTTGGGGCTCCAACTCAATTCCTCATGCTTTCAAGGCAAGTTCTTCACTGCCCGAGCCGTTCTGCACCCCTCCAGCTCTGAATTTTCTCTTCTTATGAAGACATTGGTTTTATTAGCTTAATGTTCACTCTAATGACGTCACAAAGTACCTGAAAGGGATGAGGCCAGTGAGAGGCTTACCAGACAGACAGACAGACAAACAAGCAAACAAACAACAAAACGCTTGCTGCCAAGCCCGACAACTCCGGTTCAAACCCTGGGACCCACATGGTTGAAGGAGAGGACTGACTCCCCCAAATTGTCCTCTGACCTCCACGGGTGTGTACCACACACACACACACACACACACACACACAAATCAACAAGTCAGTATAATGTTTTAAAATGGGAGAAAGCTGTACTTGGCTCATGGCCTCAGGGGTTACAGTCCTTGCTGGCTGCGTTGTTTGGGGGCCTGAGGTGGAATGTCACGGTGGAAAGGCGGAGAGAAAGCGAAACTGCTCACCCGGCATCCGGGAAGCAGAGAGGCAGCAGGCAGATGTACCCCATGATAACACATTGCCTGTGACCTCCTTCCTCCAGCCAGACCCCCTTCACAGTGCCACCACCTCCCACAGTGGGCTGTTCAGATCTTGACTCCATCAGTGGAGTAGGTTAGAGCCTTCATGGCCTGTTTATAAACTCTGGAGATGCTCGGAAGGGCGTCTATTACTTATTCTCTTAGGTGTTCTCAATCTGAGCAAGTTGGCAATCATCATCGGCCAGGGCTACACAGAGAAACCAACAAAAAAGATTAGCCATCCTTTCCAACGAAGGTCCCATCCATGGTTACTGGGCGAGGGATGCAGCATCTTGTGGGTTAGGGCACAACTATTAAGACCATAACACAAGGGAAGGAGAGCCAACTCCCAGGCCACACGGTGAGCCATGGCCTCAATAGACGGTTTGGTTGTTATGGTCCAGGCACTGTGGTGACACAAGGTGATTTCAGTTGCTCTGCCCCCCTGGGGCAATTCTGGTTTTGTCCATTACCCCTGGTGTGGGAGTGGGTCTAGAGGTGGCTTGTTCAGGCAGTTCGGCCAGGTCCCCAGCAAGGATGAGATAAGAACCTATTACCAAAAAAAAAAAGAAAATCATGCCGGGCGGTGGTGGCGCACACCTTTAATCCCAGCACTCGGGAGGCAGAGGCAGGCGGATCTCTGTGAGTTCAAGGCCAGCCTGGGCTACCAAGTGAGTCCCAGGAAAGGCGCAAAGCTACACAGAGAAACCCTGTCTCGAAAAACCAAAAAAAAAGAACCTATTACCAGGAGTGTCTGGGCAGGGTGGTCTATTCTGAGTCCTCTGTCACCTCCCTGCATCTGTAATCCTGCTCCAGGGGTCTGCCCACGGACCGGTACATGTGGAGTGATGCCACAGGGCTGCAGGAATGCACCAAGGCCGGCACAAAGCCACCGTCCCTGCAGTGGACCTGGGTGAGTCCCGCTCACCTCTGTGTGTGTGTGTGTGTGTGTGTGTGTGTGTACACACACGGTCTGCCGGCCCTGGCCCTCCCATCCCCCGGGTTTCTACTGGTCTGTGGGTTTTGAGGAAGAGAGTCTCCCATTCACACTGACTCACTCTTCCCCAGGTCTCTGACTGGTACGTGGACTTCAGTGTCCCCGGCGGCACCGATCAGGAAGGATGGCAGTACGCCAGTGACTTCCCCGCGTAAGCAGTCTCTCTGTGCCCGGGACCCTCTGCCATGCGAGTTCTGCCTCAGCCTGGCTGAGTGGCAGCACCCACCCCAGTGTTGTTATCTCAGCTGCTTCAGAGTTGGGGTAGGAGGGACCTGGGGAGCTCCGCTTACACCTCTAGTTGTGGTAGAAGACTCTGCCCCTGCTGCGCCAGGTCTGAAGGTTCAGACAAAGCCCAGTCATGTCACGTTGGCTTAAGAGACTCATGAAGGGCAAGGGAAACCTGGGAATCCACTGGGGCTTCTGGGGAGCTATAGGCCCGGCCCTGAGTGACAGGTGATGGGAGAGGCAACGTGAGGGAGAGTTCCTGCTGAAGGGCAGTGGGAGTCCTTTGGAGTGAGGCGGAAGCCATCCCGGGAAGCCAGGCCTGCCAAGGCAAGTGGGTAGAAGGTAAAGTAGGTGGTATGTTAGGCTTGGGAGGTGGCTCAGCTGGTAAAGGGCTTGTTACTCAAACATGGGGCCTGGTTTGACCCCTACAACCCACTGACACACATATAATCCCAGCTCTGGGGAGTGGAGACGGAGGATCCCTGGGACTCACCGGTCAGCCTACCCTATCTCAAAGATGTAGGAGGGCGGGGAGTGGAGAGTGCCTGGTGAGTGGCGGCCAAGATTATTCTCTGTCCTCCGTGTACCCATACAGAGTGGGGATTGATGGCTATCGTACTGTATTGGGAGCCCTGAGGCTAGTTCAGGCCCCTCACAGTGCAAATGTCCAATCAGAATAATGAACCAGAAGAACCTAAGCCAGGGCCCCAGCTGGATGGCTTCTGAGCAGACTCAGGGTGGGAATCCAGATCATCCCCTCAGGTGTTAGCGAGGCCTCTCAGCCTGACTCTCCAGCCCTCAACTAGACCAGAGGCTCCCATTCCCCAAGCACGGTGCTGGGGAGGGCACAGGCCGAGCCGCTGAGCCCACCAGTCTGGACAGCCGCTGCCATGCCCAGGCCTCAGGGGCACCCCGGAAAGCTACACTTCTGCCCCGGCCACACTGAGGCAGCTAGGAGAACTATACGCAGCTACAGCTACTCCTCTGCTTCTGTGACCTAGAGTTGGGGAAAGAGTGTGTACAGTGTCACTTTCTAGAAAGTTCCACAAAGTGATCTTGACTGCACCGTTTCTTCCTCTTGCAGCTCTTACCATGGGTACAAAACCATGAAGGATTTTGTCAGGAGAAGGTGCTGGGCCAGGTGAGAGACAGAACTGTAGGGTCGTGGGTTCAGGCCCCGCCCCGCCCTGTTCTTCCTCTGTGCCCAGGGAAGGGGACGCTGGTTTCTCTTGAGCCAGACCTGCTGGCTTCTGACTTAAGTCCCCAGGAAAGAAGCGGGGAGGGAGGGAGAGAAACCGGAGTCAAAGTAAATGTCAGCCCAGGAAATGCCCGCGGGCTCCCCGCGCTCTGCTTTCTGAAGTTTGTTCTGAAGAGCAAATAAGAGAAATGTCACTGGCTGGGCTCTGCCCATAGGTTGGAGGGTGAGCTGGGGGAAGGGCAGAGGACGGACGGGAGCCCATCATTGCCACCCACTGGGCGCCCTGCCCCTCCCCTGAGGAGCCTGTGGTTCACCCTAGCCCTGCTCATCTTAGTTTCCGCATGCCGGGCTGTGCCCGCGGCAGCAGCAGGTAGTGATGGGCAGTGACATGCCCTGGGGCTTGCTGCCACCCCCCCCCCCCCCCCCCCGGTCCCTGCGCTCAGGCTCGTATTTCCCTGAACAGAAAATGCAAGCTGGTGACCAGCGGGCCGTGGCTAGAGGTGGCCCCTATTGCCCTCGGCGATGTGTCCATCATCCCAGAGGGTGCAGACGCGGATGGGCGAGGAGGACACAACATTGCGCTGTGGGCTGTCAGTGACAAGGGGGATGTCCTCTGCCGCCTGGGTGTGTCCGAACTCAACCCCGCGGTGAGCACCAGCCTCCTGGCCTTCAGGGTTGTTCGTCTGGAACAGTCTTCAGGGTTCTTGCTTGAGAGGTTTCCCCAGACCTGCCCAGAGTGGGTCTCCAGGGTGGGAAGATGTCCTATGCAATCCAAATGAGGCCGGTAGTGCCAAGGATGAGGTTGCCATGGAGACTCGCCATCTCTCCAGGCCTAGGAGTAAAGAGGCGGGGGCAGGGCCCAGGTGACACGGTGGCTCCTTAGCACCCTTGATGAAGTACACATGCTGTTACCTTTCCTTTGAGAGGCGTGAGTCCAGAGCTCAACAATGGGCCAAGGTAGACGGTACTTTGGGCTAGGTCAGACCACCCTGGACACCCTTCACCTCCCAGGCAGGCTTAGGTGCGTTATACCTCCTTTGAGTATCAGCCTCCGAGGGGGAGGCCAGGTGGTCCCCCTGGCCCCTCAGAGGTCTCCCTTGTCCTTCCATCTCCAGGGTTCCTCCTGGCTACATGTTGGCACTGACCAGCCCTTCGCCTCTGTCTCCATTGGGGCCTGCTATCAGGTGTGGGCTGTGGCCAGGGATGGCTCTGCATTCTACCGGGGCTCTGTGTCTCCCTCTCAGCCAGCTGGTGAGTGGCACCCACCCCCCACCTCTAGCCCCACGCTGGTGGAGTGTGGGAAGGAAGTTGCCCAGTAAGATGGTGGGTGGGTCCTCTGGGGCAGGCTCAGGGATGAGTAGGGCTTCACTCCGAGGCTCCCTCATCCACACAGGGACCGCTGGGACAGCACCCCTGGTGAGGGCTCCTGAGCTGTGGGACCACTCTTGTTATCTGGGGGTGTGAGCCATGCTGGCTTTTCCTTCACTGGGTTTTGCAGGGAGTTGAAGGGCAGTACTGAGTTCATGTGCCAACTGTGTGCCAGGCTAGGCATCTTCTGTCACATGGATGAGGTGGGCTTGATGGCAGAATCCAGGATGGACCCCAAAGGACCCTGGGCAAAGCTGAGATATTGGGGGGACGGCAGAGCCTGAGTTGGCCTTACGTGATGCTCAGCTCACACACTGAGCCCAAGCCACGCATTTGTTCAGCCTGGCCTGAAGGCTGGCTGCAAGGACTCAGCCTACTGTCAACTTTGGAGCACTAGACAGGCCTGGATTACCTCCTGAATCAGCTTTCCCCTCACAGGTGACTGCTGGTACCATATCCCATCTCCTCCCAAACAGAAGCTGGCACAGGTGTCTGTGGGCCAGACATCAGTGTACGCCTTGGATGAAAATGGCAAGTTATTTGAGAGTCTGCATGGTCAGTAGGGAAAATAGGGTCCCATGGACACCCCAGTATGATCATGACCAGGCCACAAGTAGGCTGAGATGCCATCCTTTGGAAGTGTTGTTCCCTTAGGGACAAGGGACTTTAGCTGTTAAGGTCACCCTCCTGCATTGTGGTCAACATGGAGACAGGGCACTGGCGCTCAGTGAAGTCTTGACCCTCAGGAGCCATGCAGGCAGGGCCTGGACCAAGACAAAACAGCAAAGCCCCTAGGACCCCTGCATGAGGCCAGAAACGTCAGCTCAGAGCCAGCCTCGGTCTCTCCCCTAACTTCCTTGGTTCGTGACACTAGCCCCAGATGCATCTAGAACATCATCTAGGAGCTCCTGGGTGTGGAACACAGCAGCCCCACAGGCAGCAGGGCCATTTCTGAGCCCTGTGTCACCTCAGACAGGGCCCTGGCCCATTCTTCTCAAGATTTTACCAACTGTATCGATGAGATGGGTAGAGAAGGCAGAATCAAGACTTTGGAGGCATGGTAGCGCAGGCCTGTGATCCGAGCGAGCATTGGGGAGGCAGAGGCAAGAGGATCAGAGGTTCGGACCATCCTCAGTAAGTTCGAGGCAAGCCTGGAGCCCATGAGACCCTGCCTCAGAAACTTGAAGGCAGGAATGGTAGAACATGTCTTATAACCCCTATCCCGGAAAGGCTTCCACAAAAGGATCAGTTTGAGGCTGTCCTGAGCTCCATCGTGAGACCCCATCTCTGAAAACCTGGAGAAAACACCCAGCTCAGTTGATAGAGCACCTGCCTCGCACACACAAAGCACCACACACACTGGGTGTGGTTTGTGTGCCAGTGATCTCAGTACTGGGAGATCGAGGCAGCAGGATCACGAGTTCAAAGCTAGCCTGGACTACATGAGACTCTGAAAAAGAAAAGAAAACAAAAACAGTCTCGGAGTCCAGGGTGTTGCGTCCAGATCCGGTTTTCTTTTTATTTGCTTAAAACATTCTTTGTCCTCGGCTTCTCCCTCAGCAGAGAGGCTGAGGCTGTCAGCCCCAAGAGGCACAATGAGATGATTATGAAGCCTAGAACACAGAGAGACAGGGCTGGCTGTGGCCCAGGCTCCTGCCTGTGGGTCATCAAGAGCCCTTGGGTGTAAAGGATTGGAGGGGGAGCTGGGGGTTGACCCCACAGCATGCCAAGGGGATGAGCCAACAGGACTTTGCCGATGACCTTGGTTGCTTCTCTGTCCAGGGAACCTGTGGTACCGAGCAGGGATCACCCCCAGCTATCCACAAGGCTCCAGCTGGGAGCACGTGTCCAATAATGTGCGCAAAGTGTCTGTGGGGCCGCTGGACCAGGTGAGGGGGAGGGGGAGAGCAGGTTTTCGGCAGTGGGGAGGGGGGGTCTCCTCTCTGGTCTCTCTCTTCTGTACCCAGCTGCCCCCCTACAGCTGGGCCAGGAGCTCCAACAAAGTTCTGTTCCAGGTCTGGGTGATTGCCAACAAAGTCCAGGGGAGCCATGGCCTGAGCCGGGGGACAGTGTGTCGTCGTGTGGGTGTCCAACCTCGGGAGCCCAAGGGGCAGGGCTGGGACTATGGCATTGGAGTAAGTGCACTGTGTGCACCAGACTCAGCGTGGGGGTTGGTGGGAGAGCCTTTGGGAGGATACTTGGGTCCTAAGTGACATGGCTTTCGCTTGTAGGGAGGCTGGGACCACATCTCTGTCCGAGCCAATGCCATCATGGTACCCAAGAACGTGTCCAGGGAACAGGAGGCCCATGGTCAAGGTCCCGTTTACTGCTGAGGCCTCTCCTTACCTGGAGGCAAGGATGGTTTGAGCCAGAAGGACCAGAACCGAGCCTTTCTTGTGTAGTATGGGAGGGCATCACCCAGGCCCACACATGCACAGGGAGTCAGGCCAAAGTCAGCCATTTTGAAGCACCGACAAAATGCCCAGAGATGTGAAACCGTGGGGGTGCTCCCACACGCGTTCCAAGACTGCGAGGGATGCTGCAGGAGAAGAGTGGAGGAGATGACTACTGCCTGGGGCCCTCAGCCCTGGTCCCTCCCTGTTATGCCTCCCAGCTTTCCAGGCCAGGAGTTCAGAGCCCTCCAGAAATTCTGGCCCTAAATAGGCAGGTCCAAGGAGGGGCCTTCCTCACCTGGAGACCCCAAATCACCCCCAGGAGAACCAGCTGTGAGACTCAGGTCTCCAAGCCTCAGTCTGCAGTCATCCTTCAGCAGGTTTCCAAATGGGCTTTTGCTCCAAAAGTTAAGCAAAGGAGTTGGGCTTGGTGGCTGATGCGTATATGCCCAGCACTCAGGAGGCTGAGGCAGGGGGATTGTGAGTGTGAGTTTGAGACCACATAGCAAGACTATCATACACACACACAATATCTAGATAAATAAACCAGGCATGATGGCGCATGCCTGTAATCCCAGTACTCAGAAGACAGAGGCAAGATGATCAGGAGTTCAAGGATACCCTCAGCTCCACAGTAAGTTTGAGACCAGCCTGGGCTACCCGAGACCCTGCCTCAGGAACCAGGTGGGTCTTAGCCTGGTTTGGGGGTCCTCTCCTGGGATACACTGCAAGGTAGTTTCCATGTAGAGAATCACCACCATGAACCCCAGGTTAGCCCCTCTTTCAGAGGTGGGGGCAGGGCCTCCTTGCCCACTTGTTGCAGGGTGGCCAGGTCTGGGTGGAGGCAGCTCACACCCTAGACTTGGGTGAGGAAATCTGTGCCCTGTGGAAAGGGCTGGGCAGAAGGTACCTGCTGTCCTGAGGTGAGCGCTGTAGCCTGCCTGGCACAGTCTAAGCACTGAGTGTGTGCCCCAGCAGGTGATGTCTGGTGTTTCAGACCCTGCCCATGGGGTGCCAGAGCCCCATCTCTATCACCCCTCCTAACTGGTTTGCCCTGGAATCCTCCGTGTGGGGTCATGATCAGGAAGGGTTCCATTCTGCATGAGAGGTGTCCCCGGAAGCTAAGAGGGAACTACTCTGGGGCCCCATCCCAAGGATATCTGAGGAGCCCCATGTCCTCAGCATTTCCAGAGGTGGGACCAGACATACCCGTGGACAGAGGGGTGCTCAAGGGGTCACTCCCCAGTCTGCATGTCAGTGTCAGGATTCCAAGGGAGCGTCCTGGCTTGTCCCCAGCAGCTGTGACCTGTGTGTTCTGCTGCAGATAGCTCTCAGCAGAGCACCTTGAGGGTGTCACTGCTGAGCATCAGCTGTTCGCCCCCTCAGTGGCTCCAAACTGTCCAGGCTCCTCAGATGTTCTATTTAATAAAGATTTATACCACAGCATGACTGACGTATTTTTATTAGGCATTTGGATTAAAAGGCACAGGTCTCCGGGCACCTGTGCCGAGGACCAAAGCAAAGTGGCAGTGGAATCTTTTCATTTGAAGATACAGCTGGCAATTTCATTAGTATTTGGAGGGACCCAACCATTAGGGGGAAAAAGAGCCAGCTCAGGTCATTTAAGGAATATTTTCACCACAGTGACAGGCAGGGCGCAGGCTGTTCTGTTCATCTTGGCTTTTTCCAGACAGGTCACATTTTCCCGTTTCTCTGCTTCTGTTGATGGGAAGGTGATCAGCTCTGGTGGTGCCACAGTCCAGGTGACCTGGTCAGGGGCAGCTCTATCCCTCCTGTCCAGGGGTTCGAGTAAACTCCGCCCTGTTACCCAGCAGGAATGAAGAGACCAGGCTAGAGGTGTAGATCACTTGGTAGAGAGCTTGCCGAAGATGCTCCAAGCCCTAGGTTCAATTCCCAGAACTGCCTAAACTGGGTGCAGGGGTACATGCCTGTAGTGAGTCCCAACACCAGGTAGAGGCAGGAGAATCAGAAGTTCATCCTTTACGACATACCAAGTTGGAGGTCAACCTAGACTACTTGAGACCTGTCTCAATAAAAGAAAAAAAAAAAGCCTGGGCTTGGGTCAGGGAGACAGACCAACGGGCCTTCCTGATATCCTAGACTTGTCCCCTAGCCTCCCAAGGGACACATAGGTCCTGTCTGTCACCGGTAAAGAACTGGACAGCTAGGTCCATGCCATCCTCTGGGGAGCAGGTGCGAGTGCCCGCTTGTGGGGCACAAAGAGCCACGAGGCTGTGGTCCTGCAAGGCAGTGACCCTGGACAGCCCTGGGCTGTAGTCAGGCCTTAGGGCAGAAGTTTGGCCAGGAAGCTTCCCTTCCTCCCTGGGCTTCCAGGCAAGGTCCAGCAAAATGAGCCAAGCTCTGGCCTGGTCTCCCCGGAAGCCAGCCACTAGGTCTGTAGTAGTGTCCATGGGCAGAGGCCTTTGTGTTCTGCTGGGCAGGTCCCCCATAGCAAGGCATATCTGGGCTCCGTCTTTCCAACTTGGAGTTGTGCCTGGCCTCAGCGCACATTGGCAAATTCCCTAACTATTGACCTTTCCCAGTAACCATCCCCGAATCACAGACACAAAGGCCTTCAGTCTATCCGACCTATGATCTGTGAAGGGACAGGACCAAACCCAAGTCTCACTGGGACGGAGAGATCACACCCCCAGGCCCAGTGCGGCTATGATCTGTCTCTTAGGGTACCAGGGCTGTCCCCTACGTCTATGTGCACAGTGCTTGGAAGGCTGAAGCACAAGTTCAAAACCGGCCTGGGCTGCATAATTTGCAACCAACCTGAGCTACATATAGTGAGATTCCTGTCACTCTTAAAAAAAAGGGGGGGGGGGGGCAGGGGCATGGGCCCCAAGGAACTCCAGGGCAGTTCTGGTCAGAGAGACAAGAGAGGAAGGAGAGACCAACAGCAGTGGACAGCGAAGCAGTAAAGCCTGGCAGAGCCAGTGGGGCAGGAACGCCCCACAGAAGGAAGCTGGGCTTGAGGCAGCTAGGTCGCCAACCGCTGGGTCCTCGTTATTAATGATCAGGTTGGGGGAGGGGCAAGCCTGTCACTCCAACTTCCGCCTCAGAGAAAACACCAAAGGTACCAAGAGCTACGTCCCACAAGCCTGTGGAAAAAACACACACGTGGCAGCCGTACATCAGGGGCAAAGGCAAGAAGAATGAGGGCTAAGCATGGTGGTACACCCTGGAATGGAGGGGTGGGGGTGGGGTACAGGTGTGAGAAGCCTGCAAAAGGCCCAGGGCCAGTCGATCCCTGTACAGAGGCTGGGAGGCCCTCTTCATAAAGACCCTGCCTAGCCCAAACAGAGAGCCTCAGATCCCAGGCCCCACTCAGGCTGTGGTCAGCCACAGCCCAGGGCACTGCCGCCTTTCCAGAAGTCTCCATTTGGGAAAAAAAGAGAACCCCCTTATCCACTTAAAGTCCCATGAGGCCTTTCGAGACAGGGTTTCTCTGTGTAGCTTTGCGCCTTTCCTGGAACTCACTTGGTAGCCCAGGCTGGCCTTGAACTCACAGAGATCCGCCTGGCTCTGCCTCCCGAGTGCTGGGATTAAAGGCGTGCGCCACCACCGCCCAGCCCATGAGGCCCTTCTAAACCCAGTTGTTGAGTTGGGCCCAGGGCATCTGGGCTGCCAAGAACGAGCTGCCACCTTGGCTTTGCTAAATTCCCTAAAGGGCCTTGGGTGACGCTTTGGGCCCAGCCTCCACGTAGCCCCACAATACAGGTTGGATCTTGGGCTCAGTGGTAGCAGGGACATTTGTAAGTAAAGTTCTTCCTGGAATTGCCCCTTGGCCACCACACATCAAAAGCATCGTGAAGAAGGCAAGCATGTTCCCCTCCTGCCTGTTTTGTGGAAAGGACTGCGGGGACTGGGCAGGCTTTCCCCGGAGATTTGGGCCTCAAGATGCCTTGATGGCCCAGATCACACTCCCTTGTCCCCTGGGCGGCTAGGAAAAACAGCCCCATGTTGGTGGCTGAGCTGACATTCAAGGAAAATGGAGGCACTGGAGATTCAACCTTGGGCTGCGGGACGTAGATCCGTAGGTTGAGTGCGTGCCTAGCATGCACAGAGCCCTTGGTTCATCCCCCAGCACTGCACCGTGTGGTGATGTGTGCCTGTAATCCCAGCCCAAGGGAGGTGGAGCAGGAGGACGAGGAGTTCCAGGACAGCCTGGGCCATGTCTCTGGTCAACAACAAAATCCCCCAAATGACCCCCAATAGTGTCCATCACCAGTCAGGCTTGTGGCATGGAGGGACCAGAGCTGAGATGAGCAGGCCTGGTCAGCACTGTCAACCCACCCCAGGGCCCGGAGCAGGTGCTAGCTTCCCTCCCTGAAGCTGTGAATCTGTGTAGAGTACCGTTGCAGGTGGCCTTGGGGCTGGTCCTCGGTGGCGCCTAGCGTAGCCCCAGCCACCTGCTGCTGCTGCTGCTGCTGCTGCTGCTGCTGCTGCTGGTGATGGTAGTGCTGATAGAGCTTAGGGCCTGGTGCAGGCCCCGGCCCCTCCAGCCCCGGGAGGCGGCTGCTGGACATAGTGAGTATGGTGGCAGTCAGTGACTTGATATAGTTCTTGGCCAGTGTGAGCGTCTCGATCTTGGAGAGTTTCTTGTCGGCCCGCACATGCGGGATGACCTCACGCAGTGCTTGGAAGGCGTTGTTGAGTTTATGCATCCGCTGTCTTTCCCGCTCATTGCTCTCCAGCCGCCTCTGAACACTGTTCTCCCTGCGGCCACCGGACCCCTGTCGCCGGCGGCTGACCTCTGCTCGGGCGCCGCCTGCGCGGGCGGTCCTACTCCGAAGACCCTTTGTCAGCTCCGACCCCCCTGAGCCTGACTGGGGTCTGTCGGGGGTCTGCTCTCCTGGGGTGGCTTCTGTGTCCTGCATGGGTGTCCGGCGCCGAGGAGGTCGGTTCTTGGTCTTCATAGTTTTCCCAGGAGGTGGTGGCCGGAAGAGGCCCTTCAAACTGAAATTCAGAACACACAGCCCTCTGCAGTCATTCGGTGTGGCCAGGGAGCAGCATGGCGGTCTCATTGCTTCTTTCCAGTGCAATGGTATCAACAGCCAGTGCAGCTGACCGCTGGTGCATTGTGACACCCATGTGCTTCCCATTCACACTGGCCCTGCACTGACTCCCCTCTGCTCCATGGCCCTTGTCAATCTCACACTGACATACTTTTCTCTCTCCTGCAGTCTCCCCTCCCCACTGAACTGGGAACCCTTTCAGGTCCCATGCCCTTCACTATTGCAAGTACCTCCTGAGCCTAGGTGACAATCCTTGACAATTTGTTTAAACCACCCAGGAACAGGTCCCGGCCCTGGCTTATGGGGTCCCCTCCAACACTGTCATTTGTCCCAGGGACAGACAACACCCGTTAGACGGCATGTTTACAGCTTTCCTGGACATGACAGAGGCCCAGACACTATCAGAACCAGAACTGCAGTAAGTGCACACAGGACAGCTCACAGGTCAGACTGACAGTCACCAAGGCCCTGCAGCAGCCCCCAGTTCCACCACGTGGATGGTACCAGCCAGTCTGAGTGGGAGCCACCGTCTGGGTTTTCCTCCCACCCCGAGCCAGGCGTCCATCTAGTCCTGCCTCTGGGTCCCCTCCCAGTAGTCCCATCCAGCTCCCCCAACCCCTTGGTTTACCTGGGGATCCGATCCGAGGCCGCACGTTCTGAGGCTGCCCACGGGGGACAAGGACACGTAGCTTTAGCCACCACGGGCGGGGCCGCGGGAAGCATGTAAATGAACTCGCTGGGCGGGGCCAGGGCGGCACCTGCAGCCACGCCCCCCGCTCTGGGGACCGGTGCCGACCCGCCTCCCCTGTCCCTCTGGGTCTGAGAGCCCGTGGTGTCTCTGGGGACCCGCTGGGGCAGGGGAAACCCGGGACTGCACCTGGCCAGTGCACCTGGCCTTGGGGTTAAGGCTCAGAACAGTCTAGGATAAGCCACCCTGAGTAATCTTACAGGAACAGCAGCTACATCCCTAAACAAAGCTGGCAAGACCTCTCCTACCCGGCCCCAGAACACTCTGAATTCCAGCGGACTCAAGGCTCAGCTTCTCCCCGCTGCAGTCTCTCCAGACTGGAATGGGGTGAGTCAGGGAGGCCACCCAGATCACTCGATCTCCTAGTGGCAGAGTGTCACTGTCTTCATGAGTCAGAAAATTAGGCTTAAAAAAAGAAACTCACCTAGCTGCCTACCTGCTTTGAGGGAGCCTGCCTCAATTTCCCCAGGTTACAAGGAAATTACAATATAAAAGGTTATGTGGCGCCAGGCGGGTTATGTGGCGCCGGGCGGCAATGATGGATGGCGCACGCCTTTAATCCCAGCACTCAGGAAGCAGAGGCAGGCGGATTTCTGTGAGTTCAAGGCCAGCCTGGTCTATAAAGTGAGTTTCAGGACAGGCTCCAAAGCTACACAGAGAAACCCTGTCTCGGAAAAAACCAAAAAGAGACGGCTCTGTGGGTCGAGGCACCTGACACCAAGTCTCACGACTTGAGTCTGGGACCCACATGGTGGAAGGAGAGCACCAAGTTGTCCATGAATGTCATGGTGCTCACAGAAAACAGGCTTTCTTGCTGGCTTTTAACAAATTATTTTATTGTTGTTTGGTTTTGTATGTGTGTGTGCTCACTGGTCAGAGGACAACCTGCAGGAGTCTGCTCTCTACTTCTACCGTGTGAGTCCCAGGGGTGAACGCAAGTCATAAGGCTTGGTACAAGTGACTTGGCTGCAAGGGACCCAGCCATTTTGTTGGCTGTACCTCAGGCTGCCCTTGAGCTCCTGATCCTCCAGCCTCTGCCTCCCAAGTGCTAGAATTACAACAGGGTACTGGCACACTCAGCTCTACTTCTGTGCTTTGACAGGACTCAACTACTGACAAAAGTGTGCTGAAGATTATATATAATTTAATACAGTGAGTGTGCTATGATTACAGATGTGTGCCATGGCAGCGTAGTGCTAGGGACCACATGCATGCTGAACTATATGCCTGGCTTTTTGTTTTAGAGACAGAGACTCCATAGCCCAGGCTGTCCTCAGACTCATGGCAATTCTCCTGCCTCAGCCTCCTGGTGCAGGGATTATAAGTGTGGCTGGTCACTATGCTCAACTAAACAGGAGTTTTTTTTCCCATTGGCTAAGACAAATCAAAATTCAGCCAAGAGTCTCTGAGTGAGTTTTCATGTCTGGCAGGCTTGGGTGTCACTAACCTGGGACCCAGCGTTCCTGTGGGCAATGTCTGGCAGGAAGCTGTCACCTCCCCCAACCACTTGGACTTCAATGAGAGGACAGGAGAGAAGGGTCGGGTCATGGAGACACCCCAATACTGTATAGAACAGCTAGTGTTTTTAAGACAGGACCTCATGCATACCATAGCCCAGGCTGGTCTTAGGTTCATGGTAATCCTCCTGCCTTAGTATCCCAGGTGCTGGGATTAAAGGCATGCAGCATACCAAGACCAGTGAAAGGCTGTTGTGTTTGATGTGTTGTGTGTGTGGTGCCGGTGCATGTGCACACACATGGCGTGTGAAGGCTCCTCAGGAGCTCCACCACTTTTTGTCTGACAGGACCTCTTAGTGGCCTGGAATGGGCATAGTATGCTAGGCTGACCAGTGAGCCCAGGGGTCTGCTGCCTGTCTCCCCAGAACTGGATAAGCGAGCAGGCTCCACCTTACCTGGTCTTTTCATTTTTAAACATCATGGGTTTTAGACATTGAACATGGGTCTTAGCAAAGAAGCCATTTCACAGCCTGAAGGGAAATGAATTGTGAGCTTCTTGGGAATTGTGAGCTTCTTGGGAGTTGTGAGCTTCTTGGAGTTGAACTTGGGGGCTGGGCCAAGCCAAGACTTCATAAACCAAATCTCACCTGAACTCCTCAGTAAGTAGGAAGGCTTGGATTACAGAAATCACAGCCACATGCGCAGACTATGGTGCCCTGTGACCCATCCTCATGCCCTTAGGACTGTGGGGGGCTCAGAGACCCACAGCACCAGGCCAACCCCACACAAGGACAAAACAAGGAATAAACATAGCAACGGGGTTTATAAATATATAACTATATTTATTTTGAATATTAAATAGTTTTTAAATTACAAGCAATTTATTGAATCACACTAAGCTTCAATATACAGTAAAAACCTTACAATTTAAAAATGTACACAATTTAAACTCCAAGTTCATTAACTGTTATATTGCCGTGAACCCCTTCTGACTGTGTTAAGTCCAACCCAGTAGGTGTCAGGCCTGGTGGGGGTGACTGCCCCACCCAGGCCTCTGCTGTGGACAGGGTGAAACAGTGGGCACATGCACCAGTCTGGTCAAGACCCAGCTCTGCCTCTGCAGGCTTCAGGAACCAAACACCACTGGGACGGCTGTGGGTGACTTCAATACTGTCAGCGCATCTTAAGAACTTAGTTAAAAGTTAAGTGACTTTCCTAACAGCCAAGACGGTGCCACCCTGTTTGCTGAAGGAATATTGAGATGTATGTTTGAAGTAACTGTGTCTGCCCATTCTTACGGGAAGGTGACTTCTCTCGAGGTGGGTGCTCTGACGTGTGGCACACAGAACCTGAGTTTTCAGGTGATGGGCTGAGGGGCGGGAGGATGAGGAGGGAGCTGCCTGCTTTCTTCCCCAGCACTGGGGACAGACATGTAATAGGTCACTAGTTCTACAAATACCCTATGAGAAATATGGAGAGAAAAAAAAAGGTTTTAAAGGGCATTCCACAGCAGGGAGACAGACTTCCTTAGATAAAGCCATCCTTCTAAAAACAGTCGGAGGGAGGCTGTTCACAATTTCAGCCTTTTAGTGATGGACTTTTGGCCCAGACAGAGTCTGAGTCTCACGGGGAAGGGGACTTTTCTTTCTGACTTATGACCGGTCATCTTATAACAAATGGAGGGTATCAAAAAAAGACACGGAGGGCTCATTATTTTTATTAGAGGACTTAAAGTCAGTTTCTAGTCTGGCAGGTGGAAGATGGGGGCACTCAAGGGAGGGCAGGAAAAGAATCACTGAGCCCAGCCCATGCCAGCTACAGGGACCACTGATTTCACATTCACTTATTTGAATGAACAAGTTTGGAAAGTCCACCAACAGCAACCAAATTATCATTAAAAACAACACAACCAGCTGGGTGTGGTGGCAGCACTTGGGACGTAGAGGCAGGAGGATCTCTGTGAGTTCAAGGCTAGCCTGGTCTACAAAGCAAGTTCTAGGACAGCCAGGGCTACACAAAGAAACCCTGTCTTGAAAAAGCCAAAAACAAAAATAAAAAACAAAACAAGACAAAACCCATATAGGATGGCAAAGCACATGCTCACATTTCAAAACTGGGAATTTAATCTACTGAGATTTCTGTATATTGCTTGAGACTTTGGGAGGATGTGTTGACAAGTGTTATACAAAGTCTTCCCTTCCATGCGACACCACAGAAAGACCCACCCCCACCCCCACCCCAATCTATAAAATGCTTTTGTTTTGGCAATTAACCATGAAAGCGATATACATATAAATATAAATGGGAATTGTATTGTTAAAATCCCTTCAACATGGTGAAAGATGACCAGCCCTCAGACGTCAATAAATCTATCCCAGGCTGACTGCGGAAGAAGGTTATATATAGAGTCTATGGATTCACGTGATTGTAATCAGTGAATCTGAACTTCTTAAACCTATAATTTGAAAAAAATCTTAATATAATTGCTTCTCTTTTTCTCAACTAAGACTGGTAGATAGAGGTAAAAAAAAAAAAATCAGAAAGTCCACACAGCAAAAAATTCAGTTATGACAATTTTGGCAAAGTTACTTTCAAATGCCCTGTTTGTAATATACATGTCACAAGATCCAGTGCTTTCTGTGGAGCCAGGCATGCTAGGTCTGCACCAAGTACGGGAAAAGGAGACTATCTGTTCTCAATTGTCCTCTGCTGATTGTAAAGTTATTGCTTAGTATAAAAAATTCATGGATCGAATCAGAGTTGATAATAAAGATCATAATTTGCTACGTAAACTCAAGCCGACATCCACACTTGCACTCTGTAGGAGGCCCAAGTCCCTCTGATTGACAACACCATGTCCCAGCCAGGGTCTGGAGACTCACCCCAATGTCACACTGGAGTCTGGGTAGTGGGATCAGCACCGTGAAGTAATTGGGGTGATTAGCCCATGTAAGAAGGGCCACCCCAACAGGTGCAGTCCCCACTCAACACGGCATTGCCATGGCACTAGCCACCGACACTTCCTTATGTCAAAGCAGGACTCTTGGGCAGCAGAGCGAGGCCAGCCTTGTGTTGGGGACACCAGATTCCTTCGATGATGTACTGAGACTATGCTGAAGACTCAAGATCCCTTTCAGGACAAGAGGAAAGCTGGGTGCTTGATACAGAAGGGGAGGCATGCATGGGTTTCCCAGGCCAGCCAGGAGGCCGTGAGGGCTGCTGGAGGCCCTGCTGGGGTCCCTGTCCTCCTCCTTGGAGGCAGGTACAGGGTGCTGCCTGTCTCCTGGGTGCCGTGGTCTGGAATGGGAAGCCCCAACCCCAAACATTTTCGAACAGCTCTCTCAGCAGCACCCATAGTGGACAAATTGCTCTTTGCACCCACAGTTCTTCATGGGAACTCAGGGCCTCAAAGGTCCCTGCCTGCCTGCAAGACATAGGAGATCTCTTACAGGCTGGCCTCCGTGGAAAGGAAGTGGTGCAGGTCTCACCTGCCACCCCAGAAAATGGCACTGAGTTCTGGGTGCACCTCTTACTGGATTTCTACCAAAAGGATTTAAAAGCATTAGAGGCAAGACAGACTGCTCAGAGAGAATCCACCTCATTCAGAAACATGCTTGATGCAATCAATGAAATGAAGCAGCCGTTTTGAACTCATCAAAAATATTTCCTCTAGGAACACAGAACACAAACACCCAGAGTCAGCATGGCCTGGGAAAGAGTACCTGTGTACAGTTCTCACAGGTCTGAAGATAGAACACTCAAAATATCGAAGCTTTACAGTACCATGCAGGGCAAACACACGAGAAGACAGAAAAAAAAAAAAAAAAAATCAAACCAGTGGACAGCACCATCTTGGCCTGCCATGTTTTCCTTGTATAATTTACGATGCTGTACAACATTGGGAGCTCAAACACTCACCCACAGTGCAGTCAGAGAGCAATTAGTGATTTCCTTAGAAACAATAAATATGGCTCACTGTGACCTTCCCCTGGTGTACCCCTT